CCAAAAATATACTAAAATCACATCATGAAATTTTGCAATGATTTTAATGAAAAAATATACTTATATTCACTTCCAGTTATTATAATTATAGGGAAAATCTTGATATTAAGTTTTTTAACTGACAAATGTAATCTATTTAGATAATCATGAGTTCAATAAAAAGTTTTAAAGTTTACGCAAAGATCTCAAAATAGAAAGAGTAGGAAAAGCAATTAAAAAAAAGCACTTAACTTAAACAAATTAAACTACATATATTTACTGTCCTTTAATGTATAAAAATAAAGCATTGAAAAACTTTTACGAGAAATCTTTACGTGTAAATGTGTTCACTGCTTTTTAACTAAATTTATATCAGGATTTTCATATCCAAATTTGAGCTTTCGTTGACTTTATAATGCAGAAGTATAAAATGTAAGAAGAAAGTTTTATTTCTCTAAAGAAAACAAGAAAACCAATTACAAAGTTAACGTTTTATACTATTTTTTACATAATAAACGTCAATTAAAAGTTAATTTTAATCAAAGGCAAATATAATCATTAATTTATATTTCATTTTGATTTGAAGCTAATATTTAGAGATGTTTGAATATAATTTTCGCTTTTTATAGACTAAAACTTGTAGAAGTAGATAATTGAAATCATGAATTCATATTATATTTTCAGTAATGTAGCTTCGACGGAATGCGAGCGATTTAAAATAAAAGTTCACGTAGGAATTCCAAGATGAATGTTGACAATTGGCATTCGTTGAATTTCGTCTAATTAAAGGTGCGTTATTAAAATGCAGGACGCGATTCTAATTAAAATTTCGCTAATTAGGTGAAAGCGTTATATGTGTGCGTGTGTCGATACCAATTTCGCTGTGAGTGAGAGAAAGAGAGAGAGAGCCAGACAGTTTGGGGGGATGGAGTAGAAAGGGTGAGAGAACATAACAAATTCCTACAGATGGGATGACGTTAATAACCGGCATTTTAGATATGCAATTATCGGAACAGCCTCAGAGTTTGGCCGCCCTTAACCTGCCCTTCCACGAGAGGGAAAGAGCATACACGCACACACACATAACGTCGAATGGCTAGACCCCTTCGAATAATAACCCCTGAAGTGGCATCATTTAAGTAGCCCTTTAATGAAACTTTAACGGGGTCGTTGATTTAATGATTTTCCACTGCTCAGCAGATTCCGCAAGCCGTGGAACTATAACTATAGTTATGAGCAGACCAATAACAATTGTTAATTTACACTTCTTTTTAGTATCATTATGCATCCTGTTTTCATACAAATTAACTCATTGTTTAACGATGTATTCAACATTTAGGAGACATCTTAGATACGGCTCTTATCTTGGTATTTGTACTCAGTGGAGGTCCCTAACGGCCGTTCGGAGAGTATTTAAGATTGTTAAACAGCTGTATTTTACATTAGTTTACCGGTTCAAAACATACATTAGATTAAATATGTAAAAAAATAATCTTACTTTTCGTAACAACTAATGTTATTACAAATAAAATAAAACTTCTACATTGCAAATATTAACGTTAAAATATTAGTCAAAATCTATAAATTTTCTTTCTTTATATAAAATCAATCAACAATTTGAACCAATTGCAACCAGATTTACAATCATATTCTTAAAAACACATGTCAAAATATAGTTAATCTAAATTCTTTTGATATAATTAATAAAACTAATATTATGTTCAATAAAGTTGAACATTATTGAAGTAAAATCTAATTCTATATATCAAAGAAATAGAAGAGAAAATTTCATCCATATCTTAAACGAATTAATTGGGAATATTCGATGATCAATTAATTCAAGAGATTTATCAAAATATCATAGAAAAAGAAAATTAAAATAAGGCAACAGTTGTATTAATAATTGACTAATTGTATTTGCAAAGAAATCAACTAAATCAAGTACACCACAAATTAATTAGGAATGTTCGATGATCAATAAATTCAAGAGTTTTTTTTTTTGAAAATATCATAGAAAAAGAAAATGAAAATAAGGCAATAGTTGTATTAACAATTGACTAATTGTATTTGCAAAGAAATCAAGTACACCACAAATTAATTAGAAATGGTCGATGATCAATAAATTCAAGAGTTTTTTTTTTTGAAAATATCATAGAAAAAGAAAATGAAAATAAGGCAATAGTTGTATTAATAATTGACTAATTGTGTTTACAAAGAAATCGACTAAATCAAGTACACTTATCTCTCGTTTTACATGAGTAAATCGATTATTTTGAACATTTATTTATTTTTTTAGACGTCTGACTGTACTTATGAGTCACTATTTCAATTATAAACAGACGTAAAACAGACTTAAATACTTGTTGGTATTTTAATGTAATCTTTATATTGTATACAAAATTGATTTGTTTTGTAAATAGAAACACCTAAGCTACATTCAAGTAATACTTGTCACTTCTGTATAGGTTACTTGATTTATGTTGTAACGAAAAAACAATACCAAGATTATAAAATAATATTGTTACTAAATATATATGAAAATTGAACTTTCTTAGTAATCTAAATCATTATAAATCAATTATTATACGAATTAAGTTTTTTTTTTCATAGAAAATATTGATGAAATTTCATGAAAGAAATCCAAAGAAAAATTTTATTTTTTATGTTCAAGTAACAAAGGGTTAAAACAGTGTTAAAGCGAAAACATGTAAATAAAGTACAATGTAGAACGAGCGATATTATATTGACTCACAATTTCTTTTCTTTTTCTATCATTACTTACTATTTTACATAAGAATTTATTGCACTATAAATTATAAAATTATTTATATAACCAGTATAAATTTTGCATAAAAAAAAATAAAACAACATTCCATCTGCAACGGAATCCCACACATCGCGACCATTATTGCACACGTACGCGAACATATCTAAAGATTGATTGCATTCGAGGGTCTCTGGTGTATTGCAGCCCTCTTTAAACCATCCATCTCGCGGTATTTCCACTATTTTTTTTTGTTCTTCATCCCCTGGTCCTCACTGTTTACAACACCAACCCCATATTATCAGTAATTTATGGATTTTTCGTGAGAGGGTTTTTGGGGATGGCGGTGCATTTATTGGGGTTCGTTTTTCATTGTTTTCGCTTCCGGTCTGCGGCGCACCAAGCGACTTTACAATTCCACGAGCTTGAATATTTACGCTGAATGCAAAAATTAATAGTAATAATAAGAAAGAAAAAAATCATAATAATTATTATTGTTTTTATTAATTTATTTGCTCGGTGTTTGGGTGAGTTCAAAGACCGATCGAATTTTACAACAGATTAGTTAAAGTTAATTGGTCGCTATTTCTGACATGTGTTCACGCGATATGTGTTTTCACTGAGCCCTCACCGCGTGTGAGTGAGCGAGTGTTGTGTGTGGGTATGCATTTCAAAACTGAACGTGTTTATTTTTCACTCACCAAACACACTCGTCCGGGATAAGTGTAACTAATAAGTTGCAATTAGTTTCGTGTTTGCGTTTATTGTCAATCAAATATCGGTTCACCATTAAAGTGCATATTCCAACAGTTTTTTCTCTCGTCTCAGTACAACTCAAAGTGAAAGTTCTACCTTGGATTACACCGACTGTTTGTTGCTCCATATCATAATAATACATTGTAATTAATTTGTTTAAATAAGGATATATACAGAAGTTCTCATTAACTAATTGATATATTAAATTTTTTGCAGATGTGATGATGTTCAGAGATCGATCGAACTATTAGACAGGGTCTTATCGGAGTTTGATGATGTGGAAAATGCAAATCAGGTTCAAAACGTAAGCTAGCTGTAAATAATTAATCGACGAACGTACATTTCCAAATGCATTTTACTAAACTCTCCAATCCATCATTAATTCATTAACAAATAAATATTTTCATAGATCATCAATAATTGAATGAAATTCCCCACGTTTTCTGCCGTAATTGTATAAATACACAATATAAATTAATTCTCATCGGACCCACATTAACCCCAATTAGTTGTCTGCAGCGCGCAACAACATTTCATCCATTAAAATCACACATGTTGGTTATGGAATCAATGGAGGTGAAGCATTATTTTTAACTTGGAACGTGATAATATCTATTTTTAATTACAAAATCTTATGCGGCGCTCGAAGCGAATCGTCGCTTCTCATTTTTGTTTTTTTTTTTTATTATTATGATGTAGGCGTTGAAAACACGTGACCTTTGTATAATATATAAGAAAAAAAATGTGTTTTGGAAACGTTAAATTTCAATGCCAAAATCAATTGCTCTTTGAGTGTTTATATTGAGTTATGTGTTAAGGTCAGAGTAACTGCTGATACGTGCACTCTTTCTGCTCTCTTTTAAGCCCGATAACCAGTTTTTATCAGGGTATTAATTAGCTGCTTTTGGTTCGGTTTAAATTTCGATTCGCACTCGTGTCAGTCACAGACGGACCATTGTTTATATCCTATTATTTATGAACGCACACAATAATCGCAAATAGAAATTTGATTTTAAAACTGAAAATTAATGCGTCGAGTGCCCTCGTTTGATTAAAATTAATTAAAAGTATAAACAAGTCTAGCTACAATATATGGAGCATCGTAATTATTATTGTTCTCTTTTATCTTTATAGATTCCAATGTCTGGCTCCGCGTCGACGCCGCATTTGCAGCAGCAAGCGTCAACTCCAATAAACGCACTTTCGACACCCGAAGATGAGAGTCCTTCCCTCGGCCACCAATCCGAAGACGATGGCTACATGAGCATGAATGGCCGCAAGGCGAAATTTAATTTAGCGTTTAAACCATTGACAGAGGTTCCCGTCCATCAGGAAGTTATTCCAGGAGACCCCAACGATTTCCCTCCACCCCCTGAAGAAGCCCAGAGGCTAATAGCTACTCTCTTACCGAAGTACGTAGTATAAAGATAGTCTCGTCAACAAATAAAAGTTATCTTAACCGATTCTTCATTTGCAGGGTATCGCCCGCGCATTCTTCTAAAAGGAATGGTAACAAACCTAGAACATCACCGATTACTCAACCCCGCATAGAGACTATCCCTCCTCCACAGAGATTTCAAAACCATGAGTTCACACCTGTTGTTAACGGACTTCCAGAGAAACATTCAGCGACGCAAACGACTCTGGTAAATAATATTTATTATTGTATTATTATTGAAGGCAATGACAACTGATTTATTTTTCAGCCTAAAACTCGTCATCAACGTCCGTTTGGCTGGGAAAACGATTTCATAGTGCATCCACTTCCACCACCTGGGTATCGCTTCGGGAGCCTACCGTTTCAACATGGAGTGTACCCTCTAACTTCGCCTACAAGAGTTCCACCGAGAACAGTACCCTCCGCAGCGGAGAAACATCGAGAAGTGAGGAGAAGAGGTAGCGAAGACACCCTTTCGTGTGACCTTGACGATCAACAACCTCTGAGGACGTTGCGCGAATTGGGTGACGATGAACACTTTTCCGATGATTCTTTGGAGGAGATGCTTCCACCTCCTCCGCCGGTTAACAAAAGGGCAAGCATTGCGTGGGAAGTTCCTATAGACAACGAGGATGGTTTTATGACTCCAGGTAGCACTAAAGTTATAGGTAAATTTCAACGCAAAATCATGATATTAAAGTTACAATTACTGCGTTTTAGGAAGGAGAAGACACAAATCGGGATCTCAGTCGAGTACAAGTTCAATTCCTAATAGGTTAAAAGAATTCGATGATTGGCCAGATCCACCGCCGTGCACCACTGAAGACGAGATTACTTCGCCATTCTCCGATTCCGATGACGTGATCCTTCCGCAAGAACTGAGCGGCTCTAATTTATCCGGAACGGGAACGTATATAGTGAGACGTGGGAAGAAGGAGAGGAAAATTCTGCAGCACTTAAGCAGCTCTATGAATTCATCCTCATCGTTAAATTCTCGCCTGAGTTCAGATCTAAGCATACCTCATTCTCGATTTAGTGCGGACTTGAATTCGCGTCTCAGCAGAGAACTAAGCACACCAAATTCAAGGTACAGCATCGACCTTAGCACGCCACATTCGAGGCTAAGTCAGGAACTTAATTCTCCCAAGTCTAGATTCAGTTTAGATTTGAACAATTCGAGACAATTAAGTCAGGAGATGATAAGTTCTCCATCGAGAATGAGCGCAGATTTGTCTAGTTCACGTTCTAGTACTCCGCAAAGTAAACAAGAATTTAAGAAACACAGCACCACATTCGATAATATCAAATCTTTGATTAAGGAAGGCGTTATCGAGCACTACAATGGACCGCAAATCGAATCCACGAAGGAGCTGAACGCTATGGTCAATCCCATTGTTAGAGTCGTGTCGTTGCCCAGTTTGAATGCAGAAGAATTGACCCCGCGCAGGGAACTAGCTGTTACAGTTGAAGAGGAAGAAGACGGAGATTCCAGTCCATCGTCCTCGTCGAATACTGACAATATATCGCCGCTGAGGAAAATTGAACAAAATATAAGCGAATTGCTCGAAAGACGGGATATCGAAGTCTCAAGCATGATACAGGACGATAAATGCGTGCTAACTGTAAACGGTGTGGACAAAACATTGAGCAACGAAAAGAAGAAAAGACCGGCTCCGTCCAAATCTCAGAAGCAAGAAAACGAGTTACAAAAATCCAACAGCCATAACGAAATTCAAAGATCCGAAGATTACTATCGCCAACTGTTGATCGAAGGCGGCAACATGAATCAATACAAGAGACCAGGAATTCAAAAATCGGAGAGTGCAAAAGAGATGTTAATATCTCATAAGGAGAAGGAGATTAGAAACATCCCCATTTCTAATAGTGCAGATTTCCCTGTACGCGTCGAAGTGCTCGATTTCCCACCGTTACCACCATCCCCTGTAGAAGAGGACGACGATGAATATTCTGAAATACTGCAAAACGCCAGTTCGAAGCCTCGTGCAGACACTTTACCGATTACTTCAGAGTGTGCACCAGCAGTTCCTCCGCATCGTGAGCCTACCAACAGTTTAAAAACACGATCCATGGACGCCGGTTACACAAGAGGCCGACGAACTTACATGAACACCAGCAACAGAATCCCTGAACGACGCACCCTTCCCACCGAACATCAAGAAACCAAACGAAAGTTCTACCAAAAACGTTCATCGCACAGTCCACAAGAAGATCATCACATGCAGACCTCTTGCAGTCTTCCTGAAACACCCATATTCGCAAGAGGTTGTGATATTCCGAGGACTCCGCATCGTCGTGCCCCGGAAATACCCGGCTTAAGCGGAAACCAGACGGCCCCTCGTCAGAGCAGCACTATGAGCAGTATTAATACTATTGGCAATATGTCGACTGGAGGAATTAGACGAGGAATTTCGAACATGGAACAAGCTTATGTCGGAGCAGAATTATTGAGGATGGCCGGTGGACCAGGAAGAGGATGGTATCCTAAGCAGAGACAGAGGCGACCAGCTTCCATCGAGCATTTGGACAGGTTGGCAAGCGGACATAATCCATGGGATTCCAGTAGAAAGCCACTCACATTACCGCCTAATCTAACGCCCAAATTTTTCCAAAGATCCCCCAGAGATGCACTCAGAAGAGTTACGAGTCTACTAATTAAAAAAGGTTAGTAAACTTTACATATTATTTAGAATTAACATTACATTCAACAAACATCATTCTAAATCTTATAATTGAATTATGCAAAAATCATTCGAAATCACAGTGTAATAAACCATTAGTATACTTTTGCAAGATGATATATTATACAAATATTTAACATTCAAATAAGTTTATTTGAATTTAGTTTAAATGATGGAAGAACTCTGCTTTAAAAATAGTACTCAATTGATTAACTAGAGGGAGCAGTTGGTGTATTACAGCAGTCTTCAAACTTAGTTGGAAATACTTCCACGACGTGCAGCAAGTGGCTCCATCTGAGTTGAACTATTCTATCGCGAAGGTCCTCGCCCTTCGGCAAAATTTATTGACGACCTTCAGACCATCCTTTCCGAAATGACTAATACTATTCTTTAGATTCTGGAACTTGAGAAAATCATTTACGTTCAGTTCTTCTTGGAACTATTTTGCATTTGATATGATTATGCTGTATGAAAAATGTCGCTTTCGTTGCAGGAAATAATCCGAAGGAAGGCAAGAAGGAGAAAGAATTGGTATCGCCGACGATCCACGAGAACGCAAATACCAGTAAGTATTTTAATTCATTTCATAACGGATGGGTGCGTTGTCAGAAGCGACGAGGGGGGCGGTTTTCACCCTCGATATTGAACCGCTACAGTGGGTACGTGCGACTTGGGTACGTGGGTGTCGTCGGATCAATAGAAAGCGAGAGTAAGCAACAGGGCGTTGATACCGAATCCTCCCCAAAAATGTGCCCTCCGCCCCAACGCCAATACGCATTTATATACAACAGTTTCGTTTCAAAAAGTTGAAACAAAAATTGAAAAAATTCCATTGGAAAAAGCTGCCGCAGCAGCATGGCAGTCTTTGATAACAGATAAACAGGCGTATTCATCTATCATTTGCCCCGTGGGAGACAGGATGCGAGCGAAAATAAAGAAACGAGCGTATCTTATCTTGCTCATCCCTTTTAGGATTCGAAACGGGCGTGGAAATAATATGCCCATCGCCAGTTTGGGATGTTGCCTGCATTATTTCGAAAACTAAAACTGTCCCAACATGTAATGCAATGCGACAGAGACCAACACGTAGACACCAAATGTGAGCCTGTCCAACAACAAAAAAAAACACTGTATTTTCAGATCCCATAGTCTAAAAATACATATACAGTGTGCGTGTGTCTTATTTTATTTTTTTCGCCTCCACTTTTACAAATGTAAACTTTTCTTGACGTCAATATAAATGAGAAAAATGTGTGTGGTGCAGCAATCATTGCGTGCATACCGGAATAATGAAATTCGTCGAACGAATGATTCAATTTGGGAAATTGCAATAAGCGTAATCTTATCAATCGGTAATCGTACGAATAAAAAATCAATATTTGGAATATTATAAAACCCGAAAGATTTTCACAATCATCAATTTCGAAAGTCGATTGCAATTCCAAAAATAAATACCTGATATCGATAAATAAGTAATTATCAGTGCAATTAATGGCATTAAAAATTGAATTAAATCAAATAAACTTTTCGAGTTCGAAAATCGAAAAGTCTGTTACATAAAAATGCTAGGATGATTCATGTGCGACTCCACCCAGTTTTCGGATCGAGTCAATTCGAATATTTTTTTTGTGCTAATTGTATTTATTTATGCGTTTTACTGCATTTCTTTGTGTCGGTTATGCAGATGGAATACTGAAACGCGTTGCAAAGCGATTGAAAAGTATGATTCTGTTTATAATGAAATGTGTTCAGAGGGGGCTTTGGCTTTGGAAACGCAGACACAATGATGTGTCATAGTTTGTGAGAGAGGGTCGAATTGCAGTCCCCTTTTCTGTGCATATTACGTTTTAGTTGAGGGTGGAACAGCTGGGGATAATCCCTATGCCGAGTTGCCGCTCGAGGGATTCGAACGATACAAAATGTGGACGGAACGGCATATATTTTACGTTATCTGCTTCCATTCGAAAATTCCACACTAAACACGACTTGGAAACAATTTCAGTTAACTTAACAGAAGCTGCAATCACTAAGTGCAGTACATCCTCTTTATTTATTTATTTGTTTTTTTTTCTGAAACATAAAGATAATTTTCAAGTGCTTTTTTTTCTATCTATTTTTGGTGGTTGTTTGGGATCGGCCGATAGGAACGAACGGTCTGGCAGATTGGCGACAGGACATAGCATACATCGTCTGTCACACAATAACCGGAAACCGAAGATGACTTAAAATAACAAAGACATCCAAAGACATTCTTTTTTTTTCCTTTTTTTTCGATGAATTATGCATAGAGCGTTCCCCGCTGGACTGACCAACCTAACGTGTGCTCATTAACAGGAAACAACCAAACGGAGTACATAAAAATGCATCGCTAAAACGATAAACAATTGAAATATTCCGCCTTAATTGTTATCGCACTTCACAATGACAGATTATTAATAAACGTCAATAAATAACACAATGCTAACAGGATGATACCAAATCTGCTTACATCGAAGAATGCCATGAATCACATTGATCACGAATGACTCAAATGCAACTGGAGTGTTTTCACTAATTTAATAATATCAACAACAACTACAAGAAATCATCATCATCTTTCAAACAATACTTAATTTCACAAGAAAATAACAAATAAAATATTACTTTCTTTCGGTAATATTTTCATTATTTGTTTACAACAACAGTTTTTATGTTTAATTTATGTTTAAATATCCGTCGATACCCAAAAAGTCATCGTCCTTCTAAGCAAGTTTGTTTTCTTCTATTCAATGAAAGAAACCTTCTGCATGATTTAATCAAAATTCAGCTGCACACATATAAATTTAATTTGAATTTTTAATTATCTGTTGTCTATTGGAATATATTTTTTATTTATTTTTTTCTTGAAATCCTAATATGGAGAGCGAAATCGAATGCAACCGTAATCTTTTTCCGGCAGGAAGTCCGAAGCGTTGAATGTAATTTAAAAAAGAAAACGAATGAAAAAAAAATCATTACATATTCATGCAATTCGTATACAAATAGTTTTCGTTAATTTCATTTTCATATCACATATTTCGACCATTAACATTCCCAATTTAATCAACAAAATAAATACGTATACTGAGAAATATTATTTACAATTGAAATGTTTAGAAAAACTAAATGATTTCATACATATTTTTTGGTATATTCTACTGTTATTTTAATTAGATTTTTCTTATTTTGGAACTTTGGTATATTTGCTGTTATTATTGGGTTGGCAAGAAAGTAATTTCGGGTTTTCACAAATAAATAATCTTATGTTTGTTTTGAAGGACTTCTGTCAATGTTTTGAGTTTTTCCTTTTGTCATTTGAAAGAGGTCATTTTTAGTTCGCTTTAGTGCGAAATTTTATTTGCAGCTGTTAGTTTTGGGTGCAAAAGCAATCATTTTCGACCTATTTTACTTATTTATTTCTGTAAAGCCCAAAATACTGCTGAGAATGTCAGAATGTGCACTATTAAATTACCATTTATTTCGAAGATTCAAAATTTTTTGATTGGTAAAACTTTCACTAATTATGATCACGTTAAATCGCACTTGGTGCAGTTCTTTGCTGACACGGACCAGAAGTTTTATGAGTCCAGAATGAAGGTCTTCGTACAAAATGGAAAATATAAAATTGATTAAAGTTCATTCTTTGTATACAAAAAACGAATTTTGATTTCTATCTTGCTGACACAATATAATTAGTTCTAAATAGGTTTTAAAATTAACTTTGTACAGAAACAAATTGGTTTTGTTTTCAATATTTGTGAGTATTTTTCTAAAGGCAACGATTTGTATTTGACTATATTCTCAGATCAAAATTATAATATTTTATAATGGGAAATGTGTATTAACGTAATGATAATACTAAATGGAACAGTTTTACAGTATTTATCGTTTAAAAACAGAAATACGAAGTGCCTCGCAACACTTCTATTTTAAGTGAAGCAAAAGATAAACATGGAACACGTAATTAGTATACCAGGGTTAAATATAATGACTGTCCTCTTTTTTTTTGTGTGTGTTTTTCTCTCCACCGTCGTTTCTTGTCTGCCCAGTAAATTACTCACTCGTTTACTATTATTTCAGGTGAGGAGACCCAGAAGAAGAAGAGCTTCTTCAAGAATTTCTGGAAGAGGTCTCGCCATTACTCCTTGGAGCAGCAGCAGCAGCAGTAAGAGATGCAGCTCTGATGCAGTTTCTATGTAGAGAAACAAACCATTCACTAACCAACATAGTATTAAAATACGCCCTAATTATATAAGTCTGCACTCACGCGATCCCCGAACGTTTACATGAATGTAAGAATTTATATTGAAAATAATAACGACGATTATTATAAGCTTATTTTAACGCGAGAATCGTTCTTTTTAATTATGTTGAAACAACTTTGCGTGGCGAACTCTTAGAGTAGACGAATCCAAAATTTTGATTTCGAACAAACAAACAAAAACCTAACTTATAAACATATTGACATAAAATCCTTCCATTTTTGATATCAGATTTTTTAGGGATTAAAAAACAAGGAGAAAGAATTATATATCAGCTCTCGACTGAAGAAGAAACGGTTTTGTTTATTTGGAGGCAACGTAAAGTGTCCACATTTAGGAAACGCACAAAATGAACAAAAAAAAAGAAAATTCAAATCCAAAACTAAATAGTACAAATCGAAAATTGTTATTTTTTGATTTACATTGATTGATCAATTCGTAAGTTGCCTCAACGAAGTGTGTTGGTTTCTTCTTTTGAAAAGTGAAGTTTTGAGAGACAAACTGTACCAAAATATGTTGTTTATTTTTTTCTTCTTTTTGGTATAGCACAAATTGTAACCGACTGCCCTCTTGGAATTGTATAGATTTAAATCTAAATATTATATGAATCAAATTTTTTGATACATTTTTATTGATAATTCTAATTAAACAAACAACCATTAAAAAACTCGTTCATTCATTTTAGTGGGAAGGGGAGGACTTAGTCGAGTAGTTTAAGTGTTTATACGGTGAATTTAATGAACAACAACGTTTATATTTGTCTGAATCATAGTTATCTCCGTTTATATCTAAATCTGTAATCGTTAACGTTATAAACAACAAGTTATAATCGGACGTTTCATTTACCGAATCGTTCGTTTTTCAATGGAAAATTAACTGAAAAGTGTATGAAATTGGTTTTTATTCAAACAGCGTAGTTGTATTGTGTGTGTAATGATGATGATGATGTGTACTAGGTATATTCATATTTTCCGTAACGTTTTTACCCCTCTGTAGAAGAAGTTATATTTGTAAAATACCACGCCGCTTCTTTACTGTATCTAAAAATATATATATATATAAAAAAAAATATATAATAAACAAACAAAAAAAATAATATATATGAAGAATAAATATATACTTTTTCAATGTTCACAATAAAGTGCCCCAATTTTTGTATGATTCAATTTGTCGATGAGAGAAACGTGTAGAATTAATTAATTGAATAAAGTAGTTTTTAAACTTATTTAATGATAGGTGAAACCCAGGTAAGGAGGGAAAATATGTACGCTAATAACAAGTATTTATATATACAATATAAATATATTAATTAGTTTAATAAATAAACACATACACACGACAACAACAACAAAACAAATTTTGCAAAAAAAAAAATCAGATTTTTATAATTGTCGCTTTGATTGGAGTTTTTTTTTATTATTTGTGTTTTTTTGTAGATTTGTGATACGTTATCCTTTTGTTTTTTCCCCGACAGGATAGAAAAAAAAAAGAAATATTGAATCAATAATTAATAATATGAAAAAAGGTAATAAAAATAACGATTAGTCATTTATTTTTTATATTAATTTTTACTAATTTATATTTCGTTTTAATATTGTAGATTTGTACAGCAGTCTTAGTATGGATATTTTGTTATTTGTGAAAGTGTAATAACTAAATGTAAATAATGAATGAGTAAATAAATAAAAAGCTTCAACAGTACAATAATCGATTCCGTTCATTATGTGTTGCACTCTATACTGCACTATCTGTGTAAGTAAACTATCTCTTTTTTTTTTCCAATACATTGGATGCTTTGTGTTCTCTCTTTCTCTCTCTTCGAAGTTGGTGGTTTCGAAGTTGCGGATGTCATTTGTACAAGGTAGGTAGGTACATCGACGCCTCCTGTTCCTTTCTATGACTACGCCCTACAGACTGGATCGATGCGGCGTCGAGTTGAACGTGCGTCGGGTAATGAACCTTTCGCCAAATCCGAAACGGGACGTAATATTTGCCATATTCCTCTAACAGTCAAATGAATAACTATGTAGAATTATCATAATTGAACGTGTCTGCACGAAATTACATATAAAGAAGTCAATAAAACAATCTAACTTATATCAAATTATAGTTTTCTTTCAATATAACATTAGTTTAAAGCAAATTATAAATAATTGTACAAAGTTAGTTTTTTTATTTAACAACGTAATATTTGCCACATTCCTCCAACAGTCAAATGAATAACTATGTAGTATTATCAGAATTGAACGTGTCTGCACGAAATTAGATATAAAAATTCAATAAACTAATACTAAATTATATGTTTTCTTTTAATATAACATTAGTTTAAACCAAATTATAAATAATT